TGTGCAAAAGCCAAGTTGAAATTTGAGGATTAAATTCATTTTTTTAAATTAGTTATATTTTTCTTAAATTTACTTTAATGCTTGCCCATATTTTCACACTGCAAAGGTCAAATGTGTTTTTTTATTAACCCCTTGGCTGCTCTTGCAATTATAGCCTCCAACACCCCCAGGCACAAAAAAAAAAAATTGTTTTATAAAAGTGTTCATTTGTGTTCCCTGATCACCAGAAAAATAATAAAAAATTGTAGGTGGCATATTTTGGCCACAATAGGTTGGGGAAGTCTGGCAAAAAAGAGGCGCTGACAGAGCAAGCGTCGGAGGTGGTCTGCTCCACCCGAGCTGTCAGGTGGGAGTTGCCACAAAGATATTATTACCTAATTATTTCAATGTCTCTGATTTTTTGTCTGTTATTTTGCAGTAATATTATTCAATAGAGTGTAGTGTGATATATTTATATAATAAAATGTGTGTGAACCAACTGTGCAATTAAGAAGGTATGGTGAGTCAAGATGGTATGGTGAGTGATCCAGTCTCTGTGGTGTAGTGGTAAGACACTCACCTGGCGTTCCGCAAGCGCTTCGGCATGGGTTCGTATCCTGGCTGGGGAGGATTTACTGGGCATAAATTCTTAACTGTAGCCTCTGTTAAACTCAACAGTAAAACGGGTACTTGGTTGTAAAAACGATTCTTTGTGGGGGTCATATTCCAGGGACCTGCCCGAAACGTTATGCGTACTAGTGGCTGTATAAGAATGTAACAACTCTTGTATATATCTCAAAAAAAAAAAAAATAATAAAACAATAATTGAGGTCGCCATACAGTCAGCTGACGCTCCCTCACACACTAACTTTCCTACTCCCACTATACTGTTTGTGCTGTTTTTACAGTATATACACACACGTTATATATAGGTATCTACATGTTTTCTTCACCATAACTGTACAACTACAGTGGTATGGTGAGTTCAGACAATAAGAGGTCAACACACAGAGTCAGCTGATGCTTCCCTCCCTCCCTCCTTGCTCAAGGCCAGCGCACTAAAATTCCTCCTCCAACCATACTGTTTGTGGTGTTATTACACTATATACATACTGTACATTATATATAAGTATCTACATGTTTTATTCACCATAACTGTACAACTAAGCTGGTATGGTGTCCAAACATAATGGCCACAACAGAATTGCATGGCAAGAGAGACAGCAGCCAGCAGATGACATCACCTCCGTCACCAAACTGGCTCCTCCCAACATACTTCTTTTTCTGTTATTTCACTATATACACACACGTTATATATAAGTACTGGTATCTACATTTGTGTTCATCATAATGAACCACTAAGCTGGTATGGTCAGTGCAGACAATAACAGGTGGCCACACAGTCAGTCAGCAGACACCACCTTCCTCAGCATCACTCCTCCCACCATACAGCACAGCTCTAATTATCACAACAATCCTGCTATTATCAAAATCCTGTTTTTTTTTATCACACTCAGGGGTCTTCTGTAATACTATCATTGCTAAATAATACCAGTTACATATTTATTTTGACATTTTTAGGCAATACTGTGGTCACAAGCTGAACAGCAGTGCTGTTAGCTCATGCTGCCAGCCTTGGTGGCTCACTCAGTACTGAGGCTCTCACACCCGGAAATGTTGCCCACGATATTCTTTTTAAATGGCGTCTGTTTACAAGGGCCCTGAGGAAGCTGCTGTGAACCCCGTGTAGCCGCACGACTTTTAAATCTTGCACGGTACTCCAACACATCAATAGCTGTGGTGCGCAATTCCGCAACAGTTAATCACCCCAGCTATTGATGTGTTGTGCATTTAAGGGTTAAGGGGAATTAACATCTAATCGCAGTATAGTGCTCTAATTATGAAGTTAGTTGTTCGCATGGTGGCAAAGTTAATGTTTGAGCATGAAGCTTACCACCTGCTGGGTATTGCCACAGTATCTTCACACGTAACAATATATATAACTATGTACAATTTTATGTACCTTAATGTACCATTAAGCAGGTCTGATGGACCCACACACATATCATAGTGTTAACACGTCAGTCAGCTGACACGACACCACCTGACTCGACATAATGCTTCCAATATAACACACTTATCCCTACTCTAGGCACAATGTTGCTATTCCTGTATTATCAGCATCCTGGTCAGTAAATCCAGAATATACTGTAGTAATAAATTGATAAATCATTGTGTTGGGGGGACAGGAAACCAGAGTGTATTCATACACAGTGGACTTACATCGAGGCCCCCTCCCCCCGGCCGAATAACTGACCCTACCCAGGATGCAACTCCACAACAAACTGACTAACTCCTCAGTACCTACTCACTGCTATGTGAACGGAAGCATAAGGTGAAAGGAAATATGACCAACAATTTCTGTCCCACCCAGGAGTCAATCCCGGAATTCTCAATTGTACATCAAGAACAAACCCGACTGTACTACCAAGACCCTATAAATCATTTTACGCACAATTTATTTTCTAAAGGAGAATGAGGTCATTCATGATACATAGATGCACCAAATAAGGCAGTGTGCTGTGGTTGTCTGCATCATGCTGTGAACATCATCAAGTTCAAAGAGATCTTAACACTGTACATAAGTCTTTATTACAGTCAAGATGTTCGTTAACACTATTATCGCAAAACAATAGCAGTTACAGTACTTTCATACTTTGTCATTTTTAAGTGATGTTGTGGACACAAGCTGAACAGTGGTGCTGTTAGCTTGTGGTGGGTGCGCGCTACCCTTGGTTGCTCACTCAGTACTAATGCCTTCGCATTCAGGAACAGTGTCCATGATTTTTTGTTCAAAATGGTGTCTGTTTACTAGAGCCCTAAGAAAGTCAATGTGAGCCCCATGTACCCGTGGGAGTATTAAGTCTTACGCTGTACCCTAATATAGCCCGAGTCATGGTGCACAGTTTGTAGAAAATTAGCCACCATTGCTCCAGTTGTGGTGCGCAGTGCAAAGTTTAGGCGAGTCTCAAGGCTGTGGTTTCGTTTGAAGCCAGCAGTGGTTTGTTTCATTGACTTTCTGGGTGACTTTCCCAATGGAATTTTGTCGTACATCCCATCACTCCTTGCTCTTTTGGGAAGGCCAGGTTCTGGCTCTGGTTCCTGATAGGCCTATAGAACTCCACGAGTGATGGGGCCTAGTAGTATGCAAACCATTCTCCTGTTTAGATAGTAGTTTTTGTAACTACAGTATGTGCACCATAGTACAAAGATTGCCATTCTAAGCACTTAGATATCAGAACTTTGTACTATTAACTTTATGGATGTAAAAAATGAAAACTACATACTTAAATATTCCTAGGCCTAGTATTGCACACATATGTACTAGATTAGGTCTCAGATATCATGTATTAGGCCTAGGAAGGTTGGGCTAGTTTAGTTTGTCTTTGCAACATAGTAGAAAATAATTTTCCGGTTTGTCCAACTCAATAGTGCCAATTTCTACTTTCTAATTTCATTGTACGCTGGTATACATACTAAGGTCCTCCTCGTTACTCTAAGTACTACTATACTACCAAACAGGAGGACTGGCTGTAGTATGACAAAATATCAGAGATAATAGCTTCAGGAAGCCAACAGGGTTCACCCAGAAATTGCCGTTTCATTACATTCAACACTATTTTTTCTTCATTACTGCACTCCAAAGCATAAAAAGTACAGGGGTACCTCCATTTACGAGTTTAATCCATTCGAAGGGAAGGGTCATAACTCAAAAATTCGTAACTCGAAACGAATTTTTCCATAAGAAATAATGTAAATTGAATTAATCCCTTCCACACCCCCAAAAATATTAACTTCAAACTACAGTACATTTCATACATAATACACATATTCGTTGTTGTTTGGTGGTGTTGATTGTACTTGCTTGGGACTGGAGAGATTACACACTGTCGTTACTTCAAGGGCTTTATTGGGTAAGGCAAACAAGGTATAGATAGAGTCCACCCAAGGTCCTACCTGCTCTGGGTCTGTGAGATACTGAGGCCTACTTGAGAGCAGCCTACTGCCGGCTCAGTGGATTGTGACATCATAGGCTTACTCGTCTGTGATTGGCTATAAACCAACCGTCATACAATTTGAGTACTAACATACACACATATTTTGTACTATAGCATGTACAAGTTATAGCTTACCTTTATTGATGACTCTTGTTGGTGTATGGAAGACAAAGAGGGGAGGAGAAGAAGAGGTGTTACTGTTTGGAAGGGGAGTACCCTTCCATTTTAACATCAAGCAGTGATGACTTCTCTGGGGTACACACTCTCTCCTATGTTTTGCAGACATACCACTAGGACCTTGTTGTGGTTCACTACAGTACTTGCTTGTCTAAGAATCTGTCCAAAGATACTTGTTTTCCCTACACTTTAACACTTGTCTGTAGTGAGACATTACATTGTCATTTAAAAAGTCAATGCAACGGCCTGCTACAGCTTTATCTGGGTTAGTTTTTTCAACAAAACTTTGCATTCTTCTCATACTTCACACATTTTCTTAATGAGGAAAGGACATCCTCTACTGCCGTAGAGGACTAATCACAACTATTTTCTTAGGTTGAACCTTACCACTGACTTTCTTGGGACCCATGGCATGATATAAAATAATTACTTTTGTGTTCAAAAATCAAAAACAAAAACAAAAAAACAATGAAATTCTATACAAAGAATTCAAGCAGTCATCACTAAGCGGTCGGCTCTGGTAAACTGAGGCGGGGTTGCCAGTGCCACCAGGAACCACACGCTCGGTCAACCCATACGTGTATCAACAAAGTCGCAAGTCAAATTTTCCAACGAAATTGGGTCGTAACTCGAAAAATTAGTAAGGGCATTCGTAAGCTGAGGTTCCACTGTATATGGAAATCATGCATTCCAGGAATTTCTTCTTTATACAATACAGTACTGTACTACCTTGCCTACAATATGGGAAATGTATGAGTACAAAAAAGAATAAAGCAAACAAACAACTCAATGTCCAATAATTATTCAATTTCACTTATATCAATATCATCATCAGAATCCCAAGAGTGCACTATATCTCTTCTTTTACTAGCAGATAGCTTTGATCCCACCTGAGAAACTTTATCAACAGCATCCACCGATCCCCAAAGACTGGTTCGAAAAGTATTGGAGGAATCACTTGCACTTTGTAGCTGCTGCCGACTTCCAAAGGGAGAGGTTTGGTTTGTGTTTGGATATTCTGAAAATGTCCCTTTCTCTTGACTACTATTTGGCACCAAACTCCCACACATCACATCCACTGCCCCAGTAGGTTTGCCCTTTTTGCGTCCACTCAACTGAAGTTCAATGGTTCTAGCGAGATTGCTCACCATCGCTCCTTCTGGTTTTTTTAGTTTAATTTCCTTTGATTCAGTCACCTTCCAGCTGTCTGCAGTCACGTTATGCAAGTTAGCCGACACTACTGCAGTATTCAGACTATCACTTCTCTTTGGAGGTGGGTCTTTTTTAACGTTTTCATATTTAGGATCAGAATCCCAGTCAGAATCACTGACCTCCTGAACCTCTCCATAGGTCTTGTTGTCAAAATAGTTATCACGTTTTGGTCGTGCACCGGATGTCTCTGGTAAGGGTTCATCATTAAACAAGTTTCTTGAGACAGACTTTGATGTTTCGTTATGAATTTCTATCTGAGCACTACTCGAGTCATCTGATTCTGTCTCTGAGAAACCGTCTTCCTTCTCATTTTTTATATTTTCATCTGGATTGTCAAAAACTCTACATGTTCCTGTAATGGCTTTAATATTATCATCAGGTTTAATATTATCATGAAATATATCTTTGACCCCCAATTTCATTGATTCACTGGTTTTTGATACAGAAGATGATAAAGCTTTTGACTGCTTTCTAACTCTTGACTGAACATTTTTCACCATTCTTAAAAGAATACCTGACTGTTTTTCTTTGGCTTTGCTGTTCACTGTTTCTATCGGGTTAATTCCAGATATATCATCTACATTATCAATCTTGTCATCGACCTTTGCAATAACTTCATTTTCTAATTTTTTTCTCAAATCCAAGAAATTATCATATTTATCCACAAGTAGTCTCCTTTCCTTTCTCAACTGAGATAAACATGATGTAAGGATTTCCAACTTTATACCACTTGCTGAAGAATCTATTCCATAGGCTAAAAGTTTTGAAGCTAGAACATCTGATGTTGCTTCTCGCATTTGATTCCATAGTTGTGGATTATCTTTCAACAAGTCATCTAGATTTAATGACTCTGATGATGTATCATTTTCAGAAGGAGTCATGTCATCTTTAGAAGATTCTGAATATGAATGTTCAGATCGCAAGCTTTCAGCCCTCTCAATTTTTGGCTTGAGAATGTCTTTTTCCTGTTCTATAATTGAGCTACTAATTTCTAGCTGTTTCACTTTCAGGCTACTTTGGTTCCATTGTGATGTTTCAGTTTCACTCTCTGATTCTGACTGGGTTTCTGAATCATGGGCATCCATATAATGCAAATGAGATGCATCACCAACTTTCAAATGTGCTAATGTCTCAGAATTTTCAAGTAAATCATGTATCATGTTAGATGATTTCGTAGCTCTGCTTGACGTTGGTGGTTTTCTCATAGCTGCACTTTTTGTTGATGGTGGAGGTTTCTGGGATATTATTGCCACTGGGGCTTCTTTGTGAGAAATATCTGTCATCATCACTCTCAGTTTAGTTTTCTCAAATTCCAACGCTTCGTCATAATTTTTCTGTAGAGCTTCCTGCATTTGTTTTAAGGAGCATTTGTAACTTTTCTTCTGGTCACTTACCTGCTTCTTCAGAGCTTGAATTTCATTAAATAATCCATCCACAGTATCTCCACTTTTTAGCCCTACAGCTTTATTATTTTCAGCATGTTCTTGGATTTGTGCATGCAAACACTTGATTTCATTTTCTTGCTTTTTTATGAGCTCTACAAATCTCTCATTATCAAATGAAACGGCATTACTGCTATTTGTCAACTGGAGATGGGCAATCTGCACACTTAATTTTTCTAGCTGGGCTTCATAGACTCTTTCTGTGTGATACTTTTCTTCCCAGGCTTTCTTTATTTCTTCCTGACCTTTTTCATTTTCTTTTTCTAAATACCTTTTTTGCTCCTCCATTTCTCTTATTATTTTGTTAAAATTTTCATTCATAACATTAAATTTTTTCTCAATTTCAGTTAATTTATATAAATCAATGTCATTAACATTTGAGGAAGCCCTAGTATGTAAAGACTCAAGAGGAACTTCCTTAGTTGGATGCAATTCTTGATTTTTGGTTTCTGAAGTCACAGTTTGAGCTACACATGATCCTGATACAGCTGATGGCACCTGTGTAGTTTGTGGAAGTGTAACAGCACTGGCTTGATTAGGGTGTTTTCGCCATAAGTGAGACTGGAGGAAGTCTTGCCCCCGAAAAGTCTTAGGACACATGGGACACTTGAGGGACTGGAATATGCCATTAGCAAGTGCAAATGAATTTATATATTTTACAGTTTCACGCATATTCCTATTTGTAATTTTCATTTTTTTTGCTTCTTCAACTTGCTCAAGTAACTTCGTCTTAACCTGTAGAGTGTAAGGAAAACAAATTACTAATAGCCAAGATAGACAAATATTTTTAACATATTAAATCTAATAACAGTGCCATCAGGAGATAATAAACTATTAGAACAGGCAAGAGTGATACTGTATAAGAATACAGTGTTTACCAGATTATTCAAACAAATTGAGGCTGATCCATGGACCCATGGCTGATCCATCTGGAGATTTTTCAGTTATCTCTGGGATAACAGAGTGAATTAAGAGACCTTAAGTGTATCTTATTTATTGTCATATTCTCTCATTTATTTAGTCAATCTCTGGGTTATCCAGCCACTAACTGGAAAATTTCCAGAGTTTAACTGAGAATTTATATTTTACAATGATCTACAGTTAATCTGATTTATCACCAGATTATGCAACTGGTGGTTACATAAGCCTCCTTGACCTTATCAATGTACTGTACTATTTTAGTGGGCCAGCCAGAGGATTAGGGCCCGCACAGGAATATCCCTGCAAAAAAAAAAAGTAGATACTGTTTGAGTAATCCAGAGAACACTGTACAATACCGTAAAAATATGGAGTTGTATTTACAGAGGAAATAATTGTTAATAGTGGAAAAGATACTATATCAGAAGATGAAGGTTAATTAAATCAATTAAACTTTGACCATTATTTTTATTTACAAGATGAATGCAACTGATAAAGTGAGGGGTCACATACCTAAGGATTGTGAGGGCAAAATATTAAAGGGTGTTGATATTGTTTTAAATTATTTTATAGGGATTTTAGGAAACTACTTTTGAAAAAATAGCCAATTCAGAAAAAATCTTAATAATTTTAAACACATATTACCAAGTTCTTATGATAGAAATAATATTTACCTGCTGATATTTCTCTGTAATTTGTACAATTTCTTCTTGGGACTGCTGAAGTTGAGTTTCGACAAATTCTTGAGAAAGGAAGAGATACTGAATTATGAGCTGAGCTAAACGAAACATCTTGAGGAGACTGCGCTGGCCTGCAGTGGTTCCATCAAATTCTGCTTCGGCATCACAGAAAGCAACATGTGATAAGTTATCTTGCAGAACCTCTATGGTGCATCCTGAGGACAATTCATGAAGATCTATGGAAGCTAGTTTATGCCAGTCCACCCTCTCTCGTCGCTGAGAAGGGAACTCTACCACAGATGGAATGGCCACAGCTCCGCCAGGTGACATTGTTCCCAGTGTTGTCTTCATTGCATTTTAATTGCCATTGTTTTAGGAAAGAAAATACCTATGCCTGCAAAAAACAAAAAAACAGCTTTGAATGTAATGAAACGCCATTTTCTGGGTGAGTCCCGGAGGCTCCCCGGAGCTATCCAGGCTGAATGGATATGTATAACTTTCTGGCAACAGTCAATGCATGGAGTTCTTGCCTACTGGGGACCACGAGCCAGAACCTGGCCCCCTCTAGCCTTTAACCCTTAAACTGTGCAACGCGCCTGCAGGCTCACGTCTGGTTTGCGCAACGCGCCTCTGGGTATTTGTATTTTTCACGTTCCATTCAAAACTCCTGCGGCTACATGGGGTTCACATCAGCTTCCTCAGGGATCTTGTAAACAGACGCCATCTTTAAAAAAAATTGTGGTCCATATTCCCGGGTGTGGGAGCCTCAGTAGTGAGTGAGCAACCAAGGCTGGCGCTCGCAGCATGAGCGCACAGCACTGCTGTTCAGCGTGTGACCACAGCATCGCCTAATAATGTCAAAATATATATATAACTTGTATTATTTAGCCATGATAGTATTATAGAAGAGCCTGAGTGTGATAATGACTGGGTACAATGTTCAAATATCAGTGATTCAATGCTGTTCACGATGTTCACAGCGCTACCCACACTCTTCAAATGAATTTTTAGGTTCCTTTTCAAAATAAACGTGTGGTCACTTATTCATTTACAGGAATTAGTGACCAGGATTGTGATAATAGCAGGATTGTGGTTATAATTAGCATTGTGTGTAGTATTGTGGAAGGAGGAATTTTGGTGAGGGAGGGAGGAAGAGAATTGAGGTAGCCTCATTGTGTGTGTGTGGCAGCCACTCTTGTTTTGCTCACCATACTACCTTAGTGGTTCACTATGGGCAACACATATGTACATGGGTATATACAGTGTGTGTGTATATAGCAACAAGAGAATGTTGAGAGGAGCTATTTTGGTGAGGGAGGTGACGTCGTAATTGTAGCGTCGTCTGCTGTCTGCTGCGTGATTTTTCATGTAGTGTATAGTGGCCACTGTGCTGTTTGGACATTATACTGGCTTACTTGCATAGTTCTGGTAAATAAAACATGTAGATAGGTATATATAACATGTGTAAATAGTGTAATAAGAACAATAACAGTATGGTGGGAGGAGCAATGTTGGTGAATAAGATGTTGGAGTGAGGGAGACTGGCTGGGCGTGGCTGCTCTCACTTGCGGTGTTCTGAATGTGTTGATGGTGAATGTATATAGTGTGTGACAGTGTATAGTCTGTAAATAGATTGTATATATACATAAATTAGCATGATACTTAGTAAATATGTGCAGCATATGTGTACACAAGTGTCATACACGTAACAGTGTCTTCGGACAGTACGGATGTTTTACTGCCATAATATAGTGTGCGTGTTCATTATACATAGGATTAGCACATAAAAACAAATAAAATGTATTTGGAACTGTGCGCAAAAAATGAACATAAATATATTCGCGGCAACTCGCCCGCCCCGCCTCGGGCACCCTACTGGCCCCGGGAGCGTACGTCACGGGCGAACGGGGAATGATGACGTCACACGCCAACTTACGGACCCCATAGTAGCCAAAGTAAAGACAATTTCGATTTTTTTTTTTACATACCCATACTGAGGGAAGGATTTTTGACACTTTAAAAAATCAAAAGAATTTTTTCCAGAGAATTTATTTCCTGCGCACTGGGGGGGTGTCATAATTGGAGGCAACGCAATTAAGGGGTTAAGCTGCTAAGGGGTCCTGAGGAGATTTACACCCCTGTGCGCAAGAAAAAAAAATTAAAAAAATTATTTCGTCTTCTAAAAATGTTAATTTGTGTTCCCTGAGCACGGGAAAAATAAAAAAAAAATCGTAGGTGACATATTTTGGGCGCAATAGACCGAGGAAGTCTGGCAAAAAGTGGGCGTTGACAGAGCGGTCGTCAGAGCCGGTCAGCGTCACCCGAGCTGACAGATGGGAGTTGCCACAAAGATATTATCACCTAATTATTTCAATGTCTCTGATTGATTTTTTCTTAGTTTTTTTGCAGTAATATTATTCAATAGTGTGTATTGTGATATATTTATATAATAAATGGGGTGAATCATCGCTATACTCAAAAGTATGGTGTGCATATTAGTGATTCAATTATGTTCATAAAACAATAAACAAATAGTTTTGCTGTTATTACACTCTATACACAGGTTATATATAAGTATCTGCATGTTTTGTTCACCATAACGAACCACTAAGATGGTACTGAGAGTCGAAAAGTAACGAGGAGTGACTGCCCCACACAGCCAGCCACTCGTTGCCACTCCCTCAACAACGCCTCACTCGCCCACTTTTTCCTCCCACCATCCTGTTTTATATTTTATTCACAATATACAGATGTTATATATAAGTATCTACATGTTTTGTTCAACACAACTGTACAACTAAGTTGATATAGTTAGTTCAGGCACTAAGAGTCGTTGCTACACACAGTCAGCTGGCGGCTCCCTCACTCATTCAAGTTCACACGCACTAAAATTTCTCCCCCAACAATACCGTTTGTGGTGTTATTACACTATATACAGACGTTATATATAAGTATCTATATGTTTTGTTCACCACAACTGTACAACTAAGCTGATATAGTTAGTTCAGGCACTAAGAGTCGTCGCTACACACAGTCAGCTGGCGGCTGCCTCCCTCACTCATTCAAGGTCACACGTACTAAATTTCTCCCCCAACAATACTGTTTGCAGTGTTATTACACTATATACACACATTATAAATAAGTATCAACATATTGTATGCACCGTATCTGTACACCTAAGCTTGTAGGGTGCCCAAAGAGCATAGTGGCCACCCTCTACACAGGCAGACAAATCATGCAGACGACGTCACCTCCGTCACCCAAATGGCTCCTCCGAACATAATCCTTTTGCTGTTATTACACTAATACACACATTACATATAAGTATCTACATTTGTGTTCACCATAGAGAACCACTGAGCTGGTATGGTGAATGCAGACAATAACAGGTGGCCTCACAGTCAGTAAACAATGCTATCTCCCTCCGTCCCTCAGCATCACTCTTCCCACAGCGATAATTATCACAACAATGCTGTTATTATCACAATCCTGGTCATTTTTATCACAGTTAGGGGTCATCTGTAATATTGTCAGCACTAAATAATAGCAGTTATACAGGTATATTTATTTTGACATTTTTCGGCGATGATGTGGTCACAAGCTGAACAGCAATGCTGTTTGCTCATGCTGTGTGCGCCAGCCTTGGTTGCTCCAACAGTACTGTGGCTCTCACACCGGAGAATATTGCCCACGATTTAAAAAAAAAATGGCGTCTGTTTACAAGAGCCCTGAGGAAGCTAATGTGAACCCCGTGTAGCCGCGGGCCATTTGAATCGTGCCTGGCACCCTATGGCGTATATATACGCTATGCGCACAGTGGGACATGTTACTCATGGCGTATATATACGCCATGCACAGTTTAAGGGCCTGCCATTGACCGGGACAGCCACCCAGAAAGGTAGGCACCCCAAAACAAACCCCTATTCTGGTAAACTATTGTGACCGAAGACCGAACAAGTGGACAGAACTCCCCAAACGAAAAATTAGCAAACAAGCATGACGTCATCATGTCGCCGCGCCACTGTCGCGCAACCCCCCCCCCACCAGGAGGGGAAAGGGGGGAGCCCCAGACCCCACTGTCGGCAACCGAACCATTAGTTTTTAGGCTGGATGTCAAAAACGCCAAAACACCGCCGACCGGTGGGAGGGAGGGATGCCGGGAGCCTCTGGGACTCACCCAGAAAATGGTGTTTCATTACATTCAATACTGGTTTTCTGGGGGGAGCCCCGTCGGCTCCACGGAGCTAACTACCCAAAGATATGGAAAAAACAGGGACTTACCCGGGAGGCGGTCCGTCCTCACTCCTCAACGCGAAGTCGAGACAACTGGCTGCAACCACCAACCCAATGCAACGCAGGCTCGACCAGGCCCAGGGACATTCACCAGGTAGCGAGCGGCCAGGACCCTGTTCGATCTTCAAAAACCCCGGGCCCAAATGTCCACCCAAGACATGTTGCCAAAGACGGCAGCCAAAGCAACAAATTTACGAACGTCATGGGCTCGGGGAAAAACCGCAAGCTGGCTACATTTAATAATCCTGCGGACAACCTGAGAGACCCAAGCCCGGGAACAGGGAAGAAGGGAAACCGGATCAACCCAGAGCGCATCCCCGGCAACCGAAGCTGTGGCGTGCAAGTAACGGCGGAGAGCCGCAACCGGACACAACACATGATGCACCCCCGGCCTGACCAACCAAGCATCAACAACTCACGGCCCCCTCCAGAACGCAGCCATCTCATTCTTCGCCAGAAAAGAGGGAGATGGCTGCAAGCGAACAAAACGACCACCAGGACTGAAAGAGCAGAAACCTCTGCGCCGGAGGGGAGCATGAAGCTCCCCAACCCGACTCCCAGAGGCCAATGCCAAAAGGAAAAAGAGCCTTAGAAAAACAATCCCGAACGGAAGAGGCCACAACAAACCGAGGAAAAGAGAGAAACGAGAGCACGCGGTCCAAGGACCAAGACAGCTCAGGCGGAGCATGAGCAGGTTGGAGGTGAAACAACGCACGAGACAGCTTGCAAAGTAACATCAACACCAAAAGCAAGCTGAAGCGGCTCTGCCAATGCCGCACGATATGAGGCGACAGTATTCGGCATAAGATGACGGTCCTGAAACAACCAAGAGAGAAACGACAGAACAACCCTATCAGAGACCAAAGAGTACCAACGCAGTGATAGGAAAAACCGGAAGGACTGCTAGGAAACTTCATACAGTATCCACTCAATTTAACGGCCTCTTTTATACCGATCTGCCGGTATTAACGACCGGTTTGGGAGCCCAGTATCTAGAGCCTGCTATACCGGTCTGCGGTCGATATTACCGACAGTCGGTATTGGGTTTGTTGTGGCATCAGCGTCCCCTCACATGGCGACCAGGCCGCCACCGACCTGGAT